CTAGAGAGTTCCTTGTTGACTGCAGTTTAAACAACGAGGCACGAAAAGTTGGGTTCCAACTCATGGGGGAACCGAACCTTCTTGATTTTGAGAGGGTCAATGACATCATGGGATTGACATCAACGAACATGTTTTTGGGTTTCAATACAATTCCCGCCGAGTTTAACCATGAGACTTTTTGGATAAAAATTACCGGTGAGATCTTTTCTTATGTCGGTCGCGACAAGGCAACCTCCATCATTCACCCATGCCTCCGTATTGCCCATCGTATCTTAGTGTGCACTGTCTTTTCCTGAAAGAAGTTGGTCAAATCACATAGATTGAGCTCTTTTCCCTTTGGTTCATGACGAGGCATGAAAACCCTCCCATCTCGGATTTCGCCTCATTCTTTTTCTACAAATGCATCAACATGAAAGCTAAAACATCCGATGATATTTGCATAGAAGGATTTGTCACCCTTTTAGCGTGCGGTCTCAAGATCGAGCTCCCATAAGACTCCACACCCATAGACGACATGACTCTTTTGGATGTCCGAGTTCTAACAAACATGCATAACATCCGCCGACGGAGTGGAGGTGGTTTCACATGGTTTTGTCCTCAAGGGGTTGAGTATCTCATTTTTACCAACCCTAGAGTCTCCAACTTCAGTGACCATGATCGTAATCAGTGGAGACTCGAGAGAACCATCACCCAAATGATTCGTCAGGACGCACTCCATTCTCAAGATGATGATGAGATGAACATCGATGATGAGTCTGACAGTGAGCCCGACCATGGTCCCCAACGAACACATCCACAAGTGCCTCCCCGGATACTACCATCTCCCCCCCTAATTTCTCCGAATGATTCGATGCTCTTTGTATCTCCAACCAAATCATGTCACAACAGATGGATCATGTGTGGGGCTGACACCAATCTTAAAATCATTTTAACAACTTACCGCTTCCTCCTCCATATCCATACCCTCCCCCCACTAATCCTTACTCCCCTCCAATTTACCCTTACCCTTACCCACAATATCAGCATCCCTATCCTCCTCCTGACCCCCACCCCCCCCCCCCCCCCCCGATTTCGGTAAATTTTCCCTTCCTGAAGCGTTGAGGACAATGTTTATTTCTAAGCTTGGGTAGGGTATTCTCTTTTGCTTTTGCTTTTGCTTTTACTTTTTCATGCATTTTTAGCTAGGTTGCATAACATATTATTCTTTATCTAATTTGCACTCATTTGTTTTTATAAAAACTCCAAAAAGATTTTGTTTTCTTCTTTTCTTCTTTTTATTTTTGCATAACATTTAGTTTAGGACATTAGCATGCATGTATTTTTGTTATCTCTTTATTCTCATCCCCGTACATCTTTACTTGAAAGACTCGACACACCTTAACTACAATTCTTTTGTAAACTCACATAACAAATAAGAATCGCTCATAGGGACTCTCAGTTATCACATCTTCTTTTATATATACGTGGGGTGACAGTACAAGTAGTTATGCCGATGAATCGACTTATGGCAAGTGTGACATAAGTAGAGGGACAACTTAGCCTCAAGCCGACTAGTTTCTCACTTGTGTGTTCCTTACAAGCCACAATCTAACCCCAAAGAAAGGAATAAGAACTAGATTTTGCTATTTTGAGATCCTTAGTGTCTATCCGCTACATTTCATATCATATCTCATCATCTTCTGATTTAGACATATTTTCCTATTTGATCTCAAATTAGCCTTAGTTTAGTTATGCTTAACTTTTGCACTTAGCTTTGCTCGATTTAGTCGTTTAGCTTCTTATTTGGGTTGGATTTAGATATCGCTTATAGTTTGTATATAGTTGTGCTTTGTATTTTTCTTCATGTGATGCAACCTATATAAAACTCTTATGGTAAACCAAAAAAGTGAGCCAAAATAAATAAATAAATAAATAAATATACCCCTTTCTAGTATTGTCTTTTTTGTGTTATTTGGTGTCTCATAAATCATAGGCTTTTTGTTTAAAACGCGAATCGTAAAGTTTTATACCAATTTTCAACAATTTTTGGTAAAAGCATAAATTTTGTTTTGTGTTTTGTGTTAGTGTCACTTGTTCTTTTATGTTAGAAGAGTGAAAATTTTGACCATTTGAAAAGTTGAATTTTGTGTTCGTTGATTTTGGTTTTTAAAAGTCTTTAAAATTCTTTAGAAAAGTTGGATATTATCGCAATCATAAAATACGAATATAGTTAGAAGTTTTTAGTATTTTTCTTATTTTATGTTTAAAGGTTTGTACGATAATAATTTATATTTTTGTTTATTGTAGTTGTAATTGTATCTTGGGGTTTCAAAAAGAATATGTATATATATGTATATATATATATATATATATATATATATATATATATATATATATATATATATATATATATATATATATATATAAACGGTCGAACCACGGAGTTGCATCCATTTTTCATTCGTTAGATGTTTAGATTATTTTGGATTCTATTTTATGTAGCTCGTTTCTATTTTAATGTATTTCTAGTTTAGATTTCATCTTTTGTTGGCAACTACAATGGTGTCCATTATTCATCACGTGCTCGATTCTTTATTCTACATAGATCTCATTTTGGTGGGAGCACTTATACTTCTAGATGATTGTAGTTTTGCCAACCTTTGTACATAGCTCATTCCTTGCCTTTTTTGGCCCGAGTTATCTTTTTCTAGATTTTATTCCTTGGCGTGGGGTGGAAATGGTGGGGAGTAAGGAAAATTCTAACCTAGGAACACTTTCATATGGCTTGTGGGCTAGATCGGACCGCAAAACAATGTCACATAACCCATATTGGTGAAGTATGCATGCTCGTTTTGTATCTCGTTCAACATGTATCCCTTGCTATAAGTGTAACAAAGGCTCGTCCCTTAAAGCGGTTCTTATCTCTTTAAAATGGATTATATTTTATTATTTAAGGGGCGTTGTCGTGAATTTCTGCCTAAGATGTTCATTCTTTTTCCTTTTTAGGTTAGTTCATCCCGAGCTCATTTTAGGCTTGTCTTACTTGAGGACAAGTAAGGTTTAATCTTGGGGTGATTTGATAGTTTCATTTTATTTACTTCTTTTCCTAATTTATTTTAGCTCATTTCATCTCATTTTAGTTAATCTTCATGCATATTTTCTCTTTTTGTTATTTTCATCTTTATCGGATACTTTCTAGTCTTTTGAGCTTAATTTCAGTATTTATCAAGACTATTCAACACGGGGGATGGAGGGAATACGAGACCCCTGGAAGCTTGTGGTTTACTTATGGGCTAAGCTATGGAACTCTCGGACTTAGATTGCAAAAGAAGAAGACAATCATGCTTATTACCAATATAATGATGGAGCAAGTTGGACCAAATCTTGATTGAAGAATGATGATGATGAGGAAAATACAAGGTAATGGAAGACAAAAGGAGCAATGGATCATCTTAGAAGAGCTCAGAAGGCATATTTGGGTTGGATCAAGATTTGATGCATTGGAGAAAGAGACCCACTTGAATGGGGCCAAATTAGCCCAACCAACGCTTACACGTGGTCCGCATGGACTCACAAACGGTCTGCATGGATCGTGTTGTCAAGGATCCAGATTTTAGTCTTTTGCCTCTATTTGGGGAAAGTTGGTGGTATACTTTTGGGCATCTTTTTCATATGGGTTTGGGACCTTTATACTGGATTTTTTGAGGAGAAAAATAGGAGGTAATCTTGAAGAAATACACAAATTTTGCTCTCTATAAGATTTGTGGACTTTTTCATCTTTCATCTTGAACAATGTTTGGTATTTATAAACTATCCTGTTTTTCCTTAATCTTAGCCATGCTAGGCTAGATTTATCTTTGGTTGATGTTGGTTTAACCCATGGATCATTAGTTACTGTGAAGACTTCTTATGAACTTGTGTTCGAAATTTATGGGAATGTTTTCTAGTTAAACATCTTCTTGTGTTTCTTCTTGTGTTTGTTTGTTCTTGATCATGAGCTTGGATGAATGAGTGATTATTTTGTTGGCTAATTTCTTGGTTAAGTAATGGACCCTCAAATTAGTAAGAAACACATGGTTTATATGTTTGTTTTCATTTCATTTAAGCCATGGAAATATTTCCTCCATAATGATAATGTAAGCATTTGATTATCTTTTGGACTTGGTAACTCCTAAAACTTAATGCTAGCAGATTTTCATAAAATTACATGTTTCATTGGTTTTGTGACTTTCATTAAGGAAAGGTGTTTTGAGCTCCTCTACCCATTTTAATAACATAGAAGAGTGGAGGTGATTTGTGCTTATGAATTGCTATAGCCAGGTTAAATTAAATCACAAGTGTTCCTCCATTTTGTCTAATGATAAGTTAACTAAGCAATCCAGGTGGTGTATTCCAAAGTCAACCAACTTCCCTTCATTGATTTTAAACCAAATTCTTTAGTTTTTTATTTGTAATTTCTACATTCGAGCATAGTTTTAGTTTTCTCAAAACAATCAAAACGATTTAAACCCCCATTTTACTTTTATTTTTGTTTCACAAGTACTTGAACAAGTGATTTTCATAGAGATGCAAATTAGACCAAACTCCATGGATACGATTCCTTCACCATTATACACTATCTTGTGTGCAAGATTTAGGGTTATTTATTTTGTTAGCCTCTACAACCACCGAATAACCAGTAATCATCACAAACTATCAGACAATAACTTCTATTGCTAACAGACAAAACAAGAATCAACTTCTTTTTATCTTCACCATTTCTTCTAAACAAACTACCTCCTGATGAGAGTTGAATTTGGTTGTGATCAACCTTCTGTTAGCAGCTTATTGTTGATCTTCTAAGGAGGGTCAATTACGGGTGCAACAATCTCCCCCTAAGTAACCGTAGCTACTTTTGACTTCAAAGATTCAAGGTGTCATTTAGGAAATCAACTACCCTTCTAAAACATCTTATCACAACAAACATCCACTGAATCTTCTTCACAACTTCCATCTTGATGTTAACAGGGGCTTCAGGGGCTTCAAGGGAAACTTTCATGAGGCTCTTTAGAAATGAATTTGAGCGCCGATGTTTCTAGCTCAAATGGAAGAACTATTTTTCTTCTTGGCCAAATGATTCCTAGTTCAGGAGTGTTTGTGATACCGAAGTCTTGATCTTCGATTCCATCAAGGTTGGAGTCCATCTCTTTAAAGTGAGCCAAAGGAATTAGAGGGTTTATCTCAAAATCAATTTCAACTATCTCAAGAGTTGTTCTTTGGAGATATGTTTTGATAGGAATGAGGGTTGCTTTGGTTGTTTCCTTTGAAGGGATTCTTCGGTTCAGCTCCTTTACAATACATAAGAGATCAACATGATTTGCAATGGGGAAGTCTACTACGGTGAGGTAGTATTCTTGTTCATTTGTCCTCTGAAGGTCCTAAGAGTAATACAAAGATCCTTTGAATGAACGACACATGAAGCCATTAATTTTGATTATAACTATTTTGGACCATCCCATGCCATAGATTCTTTGTTGATGCTTCGAGTAGAAGTTTTCCAACCTTTGTCTTTATTCGTACAGAGGATCGATTCTAGGCTTGAAGGTTTCCAGAGGAGGGAATATTGGAAAATATTGCCCATCTGTTGATATAGGAAGATCCCACTCAAAATCAGAACTAGAAGGAGCATCATAGTTCTGGTAAGGAACAATGTCCCTGTCTTCAATTATCCGAATAAAGGAATTCCATTGACGAAACATAGGATCAACTTCAATTTCTTCGGTAATTTCCACATGAGAGGAAGGAACAATTTTTTCTTTGTCAAACTCTTCTTGTAAAAGAGTTGCGTCCAGACAATCCTGATGTTGTTGTTCCAATAGTTATTGCTTTCTTGTTTCTTCTTCAACTTCTTCATCCTCCAGAATGAGCTTTGACTAAGGAATATCTTCTCCCTCAGTTATCTTCTTCTTTCCGAGGTGTCTGGGAGGAATAGGAGCTTTTGGATGAGACTTTGGTGGTGACTTCGAAGGACTGGGAACATTTAGAGGAGACTTTGGTGGATTTAAAGCTTTCTTTGATGAATTTTCATCATCATCGGACAAAGTTTGAATTACTGCACCTTCTGGTATCTTTTTCTCATCATCATTCTTTGGAGGGGAAGTATGTGTTTCTTCTCGATTATGTTCGCCTTTTCCCCCTTTCATGAAAGAAGGCCCAAATTCATTCACGAACCCAGTACGAATTGCATCAAGTTTCTTAAAGACCTTGAGAAATGACTGAGTGACATTCTTGGAAAGAACATCGAATCTGGTGTTAATCTCCATAGTGTCAAGAAATATGCCAATTTTTTGGACATAATCATTAATATTTTGTGATTTCTCTCTAGGTCACCTAGTCAATTGTTGAACATCATTGGAGAGCTTGGTACAAACACTCTTCCTGACCATATTGTTGGTCTGATAGTCACGTAGATTTTGACGCAGTTGTTCAACATCATCATCATGTTTCTTGCCAAGGTTAGTGAAGAATTTATCAAAAGTTTTTTTGACCAAAGCTTTGTGGGCAGATGTTTCATTGGAAAGAATGTTGAGGCTAGAATTAATAGAAACTTGAAAATCTTCAAGACGCTTGAGGCGAGACTTTCCATGATTGGTAGTTTCAGAAAGAACCTTCTAAAGGGATTTTTCAAGATCTTCAGAGGTGATTGAAGGAACTGTTGGAGGAATTAGAGTCGAGTGCGGCTTGGCTAGCTGTTCAAGGATGGGATCTAATTTTGCTTCAAGAATCTTTATCTTTGCAGAAGAATAACCTGATCTAGTTGTGTACTTGTGTTCTTTGGATGGTCGATTCATGGATTTTGATGAATAATTTGTTGGCTATGTGGGTAGCTTCTGAGATGTATCGGTATTCTAAGCAGTTCGAGGCTTAACAAAGATGTTGTGTATGACTTCGATGGATTCAAAGACATACTCATTCGAGTCATTTCCAAATGCATTAACTTCGAATTTTAGTTTGGTTCCAGTAATAGTCTTGGAAGAAGTCTTCAAGATAGTAGAATTCATTGGTGGTGAGTGAAAACCTTCTGTAGCTTGTTTCTTGAGAAGCACTTCGGTTTGAACTTTGATCCTTGCATTTTCATCTTCTGATCGTTTCTTTTCTTTTCCATCTTTTTCTTTCAGCAGCCTCAAGTTATTTTCTTATGCATCTTTTCTTTCGGAAGCCTCAAGTTCTTTTCTTTATTGCTCTCTTTTCTCCATTAAGTCATGAAGTGCTTTCTTCTGAACTGTAGTACTTTGCTCTGCAGCTTCTTTTTCTTTCTCCTCTTGTTCTTTCAACTCCTTTACTCTTCAGATTTTGGTTGTAATGGCTTTTGATCGACCTGAAAACTCAGGAGATTTTATATGCTTGGAAATTTTGGATAAACCGTTCCTATCAAAATATCTTGATTAGGTTTAAACACATACACACACACACAAACCGGTCGTTCATTGTGTAACACATGACTTTTAATACAAAGTACACCCAGAAATTTTCACTTATTATTTATAAAAACACATCGGTCTACACTTACATTAACTATCCAATACAAGTAGTTATCAACAATATCAGTTCAAAGAAAATTTAATACAATGATATGAGTCGGGTATCACAATATCTCTTCTTCTATCCTTAGTTCCTAAATAAAGTTACCTGAAAAACACATGTTAACAAAAGGATAAGCTACAAAAAGCTTAGTGAGTGATTCCTTATTTCAAGCACATAATAATCATAACTCATAAATACACCAATCATACAGTGTATAGTTTTTCAAGACTCATTTATAAATTAAGGATTTACAACTCAACCATTTTCTTTAATATTAATAGTAATGGAGTTACAGCTACTCAAGCTGCCGTTAGACTCTCAAACGATACCCATTCTCATTATTTACTTTCTCTTTACTTATTCTTATTTTCTCTTTTATTCTTTTATTCTCTCTACTCAATTTTTATACTAATTCTCCTTCTTTTTCTCTACTTTCTCTATCTCAATCGATATACTCATACCCTGTCTCTCTCTCTATATATCTCTATGTCTTCCCATATTTCTCTCTCTCCACCTCTCTCTCTCTCTCTCTCTTTTCATCTTGAATACTTTTTCTGTCTCTCTCGCTCTCTCTCTCTCTCTCTCTCTATATAGATATATATATATATATAGATAGATATAGATATATATATATATATATATATATATATAATATATATAATATATATATATATATATCTTATATCTATATATATATATTATATATATATATATCTATATATATATATATATATATATATATATATATATATATATCTTTTCGTATCTCAAATTTTCTCTATGTATCTCTATCTCTCTATCTGTCACACCCCCAAACCGGATGGCGGAATTGCCTGGGGGTGGAACGGAACGCAGTATCACAATATTGAATACATCGAGTATGAAAATGAAGTTTCATAATTGTGTAAGACTAAATAGGGTATTATGAAAACAATAGATGTTTGTTTTAGTTATTTATGAGTGATTATAACCCTGCTATCGACTATGTCGTGTGCCTGCCCGACGTTCTTCAAGCGTGGTGATATGTTAAGACATTTGTCACTCCAGACTCGTCGGTCGTAGCTACAGTGAACAACTATAGGTGGGGATTGTCAAACCCATAAAAATCTATACACAACTATCCTGATCATTTAAGATTTGGGTTACAATCCAGGACTTACCTCGATACTTGTTTAGTACTATGAAGAAAATGTCTCACATAATCGTTCAACATGATCTTTTTCATTGTTTGTAAATATTTTGAAATCTCCTTTTCGTTTGTAATTAAAAAAATATCCATGATAATTATAGGATGTAATAATTATATTTTTATATAATTATTTTTCGTATCATTGTCGTTCGTTTCATAAATTATACCTATTATAATTTATATATTATATATATATATATATTAATATATATATATATATATTATATATATATATATATATATATATATCTATTTGAAGCAAGTAGTTTTCTTACATCTAAGGCACTAAATATGACCAATAAAGAAAACAAAACAATTTTTGTAATAACTGATGACAACTTACTAGTTTTGGTCTTTTTATGAAAGTGATGGCAACATTTAAAATCTTGACTTTTTTCCAAAAATCATATGGTGCACTTTTATAACTATTTTTACCAACAAAGTAATATTATGTATTTTTTGTTGGTGGTTTTGAAGTGTAAGGGTTTTATATGTTATTTTCTCAAACTAAACATGAATCTTAGCTTATCATAATACACTTTTCATATAAAACATTTTTATAGCAAAATAACTCAACATATTATATTTTGAGACCAAAATAAATAGTTAGAATACTTGTATCCCCCCCCCCCCCAACATTTAAAAAGTAGAAAACTGATGGGTATGAACTCACTTTGATGATTTTCTTAGAAGATGATAAGAAGATGGGGTAAGAATCAAGTCTTGGAAGTTAAACACCTTCTTGAAACATCAAGATCTTGCCGAGGGTTTTTGGTTCAAGAATATGAATAAGGTAACCAAAACATGATGATAAATGGTAGTAGAACTCGAAATATGAATGGAGAACTTACCAAAACTCTTACTAAACACTTGGAAGGAACTTGGACTAACTTGAGAGGATCTTAAGAGAATGTGAGAATGGAAGTGAATTTTTGCAAAAGTGAGAGGGTGGAGAGGGAAGGCTTGGGCTATGAATTTAAGGAGCGAGAGGTTGAGTGTTGACGTAGGTAAATAAGAATGCTTAGAAAGGTTGATGTGGCCTTTTGATTAAAATAATCTAACTATGGTTCTTTGAT